GAGAGGGAGAGAGAGAGGGGGAGGGAGAGAGGGAGAGAGGGAGAAAAGAGAGGAGGGGTGTGGGGGGGCCACAGACAAGAAAAGAAACAAACAAGTAACAATGTAACTTACATGCAGTCACACACCCCTTTTTTCTTGTAACAATGTGTACGTTTTTAAGGAGGGAGGGGGCGCGCGGAGGGAGAAAGAGAGACGGGGAGAGATAGAGAAAGGAGGAGGGGGGTGCGTTCTGAAATAATATAGTCAGCCATTTTTTATGTAAGGGGATTTTTTCTTATTGGGGGGGTTGTTAAAAAATAAATATAAGAGGGCGGCCATCTTTGTTGCTCTGCCTAGTGTAAAATATTTCAAAACGCCCCCCACTTTTTTCTGTGCCGATTTGAATATTAAATAAATATCACACATTCGCGCAAGAATACGCTTTTTTTGAATACAAGGACGGAGCCAATGACAGGGATATAATGTCCTCTCCTCTCCGGTCCTGTGAGGAAGACGAGGGCATGGTGGTTAATTCCGAGGGAGGAGATTTTGATGAAGAAGACGACGACGGAGACCTAGACGAGAACGCAAGCGACATAAACTCGCCGGCGGCGCCTCGGGAAACTGCAACACCAGCCGCGCCAGGTACAGTAAAAAACAGAAGAACTGGCGGACAAGTCGGGAGCGCGCACACCAAATAAAAACACACACTTACTAGCTGGTGTAAAAAAAAAAAAATTGAGGGGAGAAATGTTGGAAGTGGCCGAAACCCGCAGTTAGTGCCCCCCCCTCCCCCTTAAAATCGGTGCTTCTCTAGGTCCAGCACGGTACAGTAGGGACCAGCGAGGACTCGGGTGCGCGCTTACAAAATACAACTTACTAGTCCAAATTGTTTAGTGAAAAACAAACAAACAGAGGCAGCTGAAAAACCGCTATATGTCCCGCAGTTATCGTATAGGTGCCATGTTTGTAGCTCCAATAGAGGCTTATAAAGAGACGAGAGAGAGAGAGAGCGCTTTGGAAACACAAACACAACTCCGGTTTGCAACAAAACGGCAAAAAAAAAAAAAAAAGCAGCCGGTGAGATGTGTTTCTGTGTGGTTGCGGGCTACATTTTCCTCCCGCTCCACACTTCCTCTTCACCTCAAGCTCATCCCAACAAAAGTTTAAAAGCAACTTGCCGCCGCCGCTCGCCGTCGCGAGCTCACTTCTCTCTCCCCAACGCCATCAAAAGTTGTTTGTCCCTCAAATCCCCTTTTTGTGACAGGCGCCAGACATGACACGACGTGTGAACGGGCTCAAGTCTGCGGGGTAATAAGGTCGCCCTGAAGGGTAATTCTCTCGGCAAAGAAAAAAAAAAGGCTGGCATTAACATGGACTCCCCCTGGCCGGAGGCTATATATATATATATATATATATTATCTCGAGAGGAATGATGCGTTTTTGTTTTTTTTTGCTGTGTAGACATGAAAGCTCGTGGCGCGAGGCAGAAACTTGCCCCCCTACCCCATTGTCTCCGTGACAGGTCAGAATAGGACACTGCTGCTGCTGCTCACTCACAGGCCAGGGAGGTGCGACTGTTTCAGCTCCCTCTGGTAGCGTAGCATACTAATTACCCCCAGAACATATTCATGAAATGTATATTCAAATGTTGTTTTTATTCTAAGAGTGTTTGTTTTTTTGCTGCATGAGTTGCTCCTCTCAGCAGCAGTATTGCAGTATTGATCTTGTCCAATGATGATTGACAGAGTGCATATGACATTCGGGAAGTTTCTGTGACAGTGGAGCTGCATATGAGGGTTGCAGTGAAAGTAAAGGGTGCATAAAGAAGTGGTTGGTTAACCACACTGCAACAGTAGAAGTCAAAAATAGCAGCGCGGCAGCCTTAAGGTTGCAGTTTATTCACAAGAGGCTTATAATAACTATAATACTTTGTTTTGGGGTTGAACGCAGACGTGAGAGAAACACTACAAAGTGACAGTGCAAATGTCATGAGGGAGGAAACATGAGATGAATAAAGATAAAAGTGTCGTTTCCTATATGAAAATCACAGTCATCATCCATTGCATTGTCTTTAGACTTCATTAGCTCGACTCTGGACCCGCCGCCATGCCGTGCCAGACAGATAAATTAGTGTCAGGGCTCCCCGACGAGGAACTTAACCCCCTCACGACCTCTGCCAGCGGTGGTCGGGGTCCCGGTGTGGGAATTGCACGGCGGGGGAAAAAGAAGTCGTTCCAGTTCACCGCACCGTCCCGCTGGCGGCCTCTGAATCACCGAGCCCTGCGTGCGTGCTGCCGCCGCCCCCGGCGTGTCTTCGGCGGCTGCGCGCTGCAGCGATACGCGCGGGAAGCGAATGGGTTTGCTTGTTTGGACGAGGTGGGAGTGAGGAGGAGGAGAAGTACGAGGAGGTGGGGGGGCCATTGCTGCTGCTGCTGCTGCTGCTGCGAGCACTCACCAACAAAGGCAGGCAGACAATAAAAAAAAAAAAAAAAACGACAAAATGCAGCCTATCAAACAGGCCGCAGCCCATATTTTGGTCATGCTTTAACGCTTTGCTGCATTTTGTCCTTTGAAGCGGGAGGCTGTTGCTGTTCCCTGTGTCTTTCTGTACTTCTCCCTTTCTACTCAAAGCCAGGTCAGGTTGCAGGTTAAATTGCTTTCCCCCTGTGGATGTGATATTAGACAGGAACCATGGGGAATAACTGGCCTCATATTTTCACATCATTTGCTGCCTGAACGCAGAGATACAGGCGTGTGCATTAGAGGCACTGTGGCTGAAAGCTTTTTATTAAACTGTTTGTATTTCTGCTACTTGTGTTACCTTAAAGCAAAAGTTTTTCAAGTCTAATCATATATTTTTTGATTATGTTTTTACACATTTATGGATGCTTTGCAGCAGTAGTTTGTTTACCAAGGTGCTGGTCATAAACCAATTATCCCCATGCTATGGAACCACCAACACCAGCTGTCAAATCTACTTACAGCCCTTTGAAAAACTGTGTCTAATTTAGCATGTGTCACAATTCAGATGAGGTCAGAGGTCGCAGAAGCCACCGCGGCCACCACGCAGCTTCTGTTGTGTGTAATTATGTTCGCCGGGGATTAGCGGGGATGTTGGGAAGCGTTTGAGAAGATTATTGTTCATCTGATCCTGATAGCTGTCTTTCTTTCACGCTTCAATCTCCCCCCTCTGCTTCTCCTCCCAGACGAGGAGCCGGAGATATCAGACAGAGAGGTCCCCTGCAGGAAGAAAGGCCGGCCGAAGAAAAAGAAGGACACAAAGAAGAAAGACAAGGAGGGGAAACCTGTAAAAGCGAAAAAACGCAAGAAGATCGTAAGTTTTTTTTTTTTTTTTACTTCCCTGACTACGTTGCAGCGTCTTCAGTTATTTCTTAACTCTCACCTCTGTCATCTCCTCTTCAGGACAGCGATGTAGACAGAGACTCAGACAGAGAGAGGGACTACGGCGAGAACTCGGACAGCGTAGCCAGCGACTATGGATCCGGAGAGAAGAAGAAAAAGAAGAAACATAAAGAAAGGAAGGAGAAGAAGACCAAGAAGAAGAAAAAAGACGATGGGGACCGAGACAGCAGTCAGGAGGAAACGACAAAGGTAAAGCGTCTGAGTCCGTCTTTGGCAAGTCCACCCTTGTCCGATCCGTTGTCTCTCCGTTCTGATCGGTGGTCTCTTCCTCAGCAACCGATAGAGCAGAAGACCTCGGCCCAGCTGGCGAAGGAGTGGGGTCTGGAGGATGTTGATCATACCTTCACGGAGGAGGACTACAGGGAACTCACCAACTACAAAGCCTTCAGCCAGTTCATGAGGTGCAGTGTTTCTCTCTTGATTGCGTGTGGCGTGGATGTAGACAAATATCACAGACATGAACAGCGTGTTTCAACTCTCTGAATCTTTTTATTTTCAAAGGAGCTTGTTTATGTTTGAGTGCCAGTTTTAATGTAGCAGGATGTGGTGTTGGTTTTCATGATTTTATTGTTGAATATGCTGCTCAGGACAGGGTTAAAGAGATAGAGCAGGGTTATTTTTTTAAGTGGGGTTGTGTTAACTAGAGTAGACGGCGGTCAGTGCGCCTTTAGTTTGGAGAAGCAAAGAGGAAGCAATACTCTGCTGTGGATGGGGGCTGCAGAAAGAAGTCCAAAAGAAAATCAATACTTGTGTAAAGCTGCAGTAGATAACTTTTATAAAACTAACTTTTTTTGTCAAATATGCTTAAACTTTCACTTTATTCTGACTGTTGTACATGAGACGGATCTGTATCCTCCTGGTGCTCCTAATGGCATTTTGCAAGAGTCTGCTGCGTCTGAATAAAAACAACCGGGAATGAGACTTAAAGATCAACTATCTTTCCCAGGTCTGATTGATTGTTTTTGTTCAGGTGCATCTTGCCAGTGCCATCGGGAGCATGTATACCACTGTCAGGATGTAGTGAAAGTTTCAGCAAATATGAGTGTACGTTATATTAAGAATATGTTCACCACTTTACCTGGTTACACCACAGATCAGCTATCTATCGTAACTAACTAACTACTAGCTATTAACTATCCTTCAGGCCAGTGAGTTGCTGAGTGGAGACAATTGTGCATTGAAACTTAATTCAAACTGATTGGAAGGAATAAGAGGAAAGTGATCTCTATAGTCTTACAGAACTATTCATAATAGCAAATTGGTCCCTCAGTTCCTACATGTACTTTAATGTACTGGGTGCAGAGTTCCTGTCAGTGTCAACTCACTCAACTCTACAGCACTACTGTTCAGGTCTGCCCATTGGAAGTATGTATTTCAGAATCAGAAACACCTTTAATGGCCAAAGAGTGTGTAGACATACAAAGAGTTCCCAGGACAGTTTTCAGGTAGATAGATAGAAATATACAGATACAAACAAGGACAACAAAGCTGAACACAGAGAAATGGACACAGAATGAAAGTCAAACTTCGGTAAATTGTAAACAAGAATACAAGAGTACAGTGGTGCAGAGTGCTGGAATAAATATTTAATCATTTGTGGAATAGGTTACTTTATGTACATGAGGTAAGTGGATAGGTACAGTATATGTATACATACTTGTATAGAGTATATACATGCTAGTGTGCTTGGATTTATAATTCATATGTGTTTAAAAACCTGAGTATTTAAACTATAAAATATATTTATAATCTGTACGTAAAGCGGATGTAACATATGTACATGTGCTGTTGCAATACACAAAAAAACAGAGATACTTTTCGTATAAAGTTTCAAGCCCCTCGGTGTCACCACGAGAGCACAAGTACTATTACTGCCTGTGTCGTACTCTGACAGCCGTGACTTTATCATCCCAGCTCGTTGTGCTTCCCAGGCAAGCAGTGCTGTCAGTGTGCCAGTGGCAGCCTGAGCCTCGGCCTCTGTGGCTGACTCATACCTGCTTTGACTCTGATAACATGAAGTAATCCATTATGTCCACTGCATGTGTATGTTGGGAAGTTATTGGACTGAGCTTGTAACGGAAAACTAAACTCTCCTCAGCCACATTAAGCCTGTGGTTCTTTCGCCAAATGACTACAGCTGCAGATTTTATATACCAACCATTCCTGTGACTAATACATATAAATATATTTGACAGTCAGCAAAAAATAAAACTTTGTGAGCTCTGGGAATTAAGTGAAAGTCTATGCAGATTTCTGAGTTGTGCGTGTATATTCTCTCTCCAAATCATTTTAACGATCCTAAACGTCTCGCCGCGCAGGCCGATGATAGCCAAGAAGAATCCTAAGATCCCCATGTCGAAGATGATGACCATCCTGGGGGCCAAGTGGAGGGAGTTCAGCTCTAACAACCCCTTCAAGGGCAACGCTGCTGCCGTCGCGGCGGCTGCT